TAATTTGAAATTTGATAATTCAAAGTCATGATTATTTTGTCCCTTGAATTTTGAACTAATGAGGATTTCCAGTATTAATAACTGGCATTATTGAAATTTTTTAAAACGAATAGACTTCTTCACAGAATGAATTTAATATCCTAATCATAAGTCATTTCTGTCTGCAATATCAATTAAAATCTGTCATAAATCTCTGCACAAAACTAATACTACTAGTTCAATACTTTAATTATTAATTAAAATAGAAGAAATAATATTTTGTTTAAATATTATCATCAAGCTGCTTTATCTCACTGACACCAAATTTTTGTTCGACCTCTCGATTTCCACACTGTTCTGCAAAGATTACTTTAATTTTATATTTAGTTTTAAACTGTTATTTTTTCTTGCTATCTCACAAAGTTGCAGTTAACTCTACTTGGTATGACACTAAGGAACCTACTAAAGTACTATAATGCATCACAATTAACAACTGTCCTTATTCCCACCCTCATAGCCTCTAGCAAGTACAAAGATACTGTACTCTTAATCCTATACAAAGGAACGAGGGTAAACAAAGTGCCTATATAATATAAAAATTCTTGTTGGATGACTCATGTCCTATTTCCTACACTAAATGGTTCAGAATGAAGAGTCTTTCATTTTCCATGCAAAATATTCAAATATTTTGTTTTCCCTAAAAAATTTTCATGCAAATACAGTGGTACCTCGGGATACAAAATTAATCCGTTCCGAAACTGAGATCGTATCATGAAAATGTCGTAAGGTGGATCATCTTTTCCCATACGATTACATGTAAAACCAAATAATTCGTTCCAACGCGAAAAACATACTCAAATTAAAGCCAAGTAATACATTNATTAGTCTAGAATCAATTAATTTTATGAAAGAAAACCTTTCAAACAGCCGTAGTCCGTAAACTGCACATGTGCTGGGCTGTGATTGGCTCATGTATTTGAGGATTCCTTATAAAGTGGAACGTATCTATTGCGTTATAGGGGGTCGACTGTATTTTAAAACAGTTTGCATATGTTTAATATGATAATCTTGTCGTAATATACCTCAATTGCCACTGACTAAGATAAGTTTTTTTAGTTATAAATTTTTTTTAATTAAAGAGACAGTAATTAGAAATTGTATTGTATAAAATTTGTAAATTTATAATTATAATTGATGATGTTTTATTATAAAATATTTGTAAATTTAATAATTTGTAAAAAGTAATCATAATTATTATTTTTTGTATATAAAAATTTTAACATTAAAATTATAAAAATAAACTGTAAGATTTACTATACATGAAAATTAATTGTGAAGTTTATCAATTATATTCTATTGTAAATTTATGCATAGTAATGCTACAAGTAACTACTATTAACTTTATTATTATTATGACCTTTCCAAAATGAAAAATTTAAGATTGCTGTGAAACAGATTTTTCTATTTTTGAAATTCTTACAAAATCATAAATTTCCAGAATGTTGGCTGGGTATTCTCATTCAGGAACATGATATTTACATTGTCTACAACTTTTGATCCACAACACAGATATGAAATGTATCCAAGGGCATATAAAGTTTTAATCATTTACTATGTACCGGAAAGCAAATATCTTAATTAAAACATTTTTTTAAAACTTACAAGAAGCCTAAGATTATTTTAATTAAAACTTAGCATTTAAATAATTTTTTTCGAATTTCTAGGGAGGGGCAGCTGCCACCTGCCCCCTTGGATGTAAACCTTTTGTATCTGTGTTGTGGGTTGAAAGTTAGATAACATAAATGTCACATTCCTGAATCAGAATTTCAAGCCAACATTATGGAAATTCACGATTTTGTAAGAAATTTTCAAATTTAAATTCTATGCAACCAACCAGAAGTTTATAAAGATTTTGCTATTTTCATATATTATTTTCTTTCTCTAAATTATGTTAATTATAAATACTTGATTATTATTCTTTTAAGAATAATAATCAAGTATTTAATTGGCTAACTATACTAACTGACTAACTATACTTGATTATTATTCTTTTAAGAATAATAATCAAGTATTATAACACATTTAAAATTTTAGTAATTAAAACATTTACTAACTACAATGTGAATGGAACATTCATTATTAGAAACAAATTAACTTAGTTAAAAAAATTTGTTACTCTATTTTTAATAGATTTAAAAATCACACTAATTGATAACCTCATTTTCTCATAATACAATGATGAAATATGATAAAATTGTGGGACCACTGAAATATTATTGTTATATACAAATTTCATTCAAAAATCAAAGATGCAAAAAGAAATTTGTTCATAATAGAAATAATTGCTTACACTGTAAAGTAAAAAAAAAAAGTTTTTAAAATGAAATTTATCTATTACTATTTATATGGAACCAAATTTCACATTTTCAGTATGTAAGTTATATTAAATACAATATAAAAAGTTACACTGTAATAAAAAAATTAAGTGATTGTAAATACAGTAGAGCCTCGAAAACTCGGCCTAATGTGGACCGAAGGGTGGCCGAGTTTGTGAAAATACCGGGTTATCGGGAATGGGGTTAAAAAAAGAATAAGTATGAGTGTTTCCTCAGAAAATACTGTACTGTACTTGTATGTATTGTTTACTTAAGAATACAACAGAGAATAAACTGCCCAAATACCCTTAAACAAAGGAAAAGTACGTCTTTTATGAAGGCATAGAACCTTTACTACATGAAAATGAAAATTAATAAATACACTGTACAGTAATTTACCTGATAAGACAGACCTCAGAAAAATACTTTATGAGGCATAAAGCTGTCTTTATCATGAAAATTAATTAACTAAGGATTTTTTTGCCCTGCCAGGGTGTGGCCGAGTTATCCAGAGTGCCGGGTTATCGAGTGCCGAGTTTTCGAGGCTCTACTGTATTGTGAATGAACATCTAAAATAAAAAATAAGGTAGTACCAATTAGTTGGAATCCTGCATCTCTAATTGTTATTATTGCTGCTTGAAGCCATTATTTTCTGCTAAAGGAAGTTTATAATTTTTGTTTGTGTTATTTGTTTAATCAAAGTTTTTCAATAAAATTCTGTACTGTGACACAGCATTCCAGTTTGCTATCAAACACATCATTCTGCTTAATTCTTTTTTGCACATCATCTAATATTTTTCTCTTCTCTTCTAAAGAAAACTGCTTTTGTTTCTTTTTGTTTTTCTCCCTTTTTTCTGGTAAACTTAAAAGATATAACTATAGAATAATAGCATCATAGCAAAACCATAACTAAGGATTAATATTAGTGTTGCCAAACTATTTGACATAATATTCGTCATTTACTAAAAATAAATGATTATATCATGCACAAAAACTAATAACCTGTGCGCAATAAAGTTAAATATCAAACAACAAACGTTTTCTTAACTTCTTCATTGTTCTTCCTCGGGTGTTTTTAAATTCAAATCAGCAGGATTATGAAATTCATTGCAGAATATAATATTCAAATATAGAATCAAACTGTAAGTTCAAAAAATTGGAACAAGGAATTCCTGCACATGTGTATTCCTATGCTACTCTTGAATATGATCAACAATTAAATAGAGTTGTACAAAACAATATTCTATGTATTTCTGGCTCAGTGCCAGCAAAAAACTAGGTAACTAGACAATGTTAATTTTGACAAAAAGTTACAAATTATCAAGTTTAAATGTCAGTTCTGATATATATTAGTTTTTTCTTATAAATTTTTCTAATAAAATGTATTGAAAAATATTGTATTTAAAACTAAAGATATTAATAAATATATGTGATTTTTTTCATATGAATATAATGATAATTTGATTTTTGGTGAATTTTTAAAATATTGCCTTAAGACAGATTACAAAATCAACGTAAACAAAATGGTGGTGGTAAAGGGTTAAACTCCACTGACAAGTAAAGCTTGACAAGCCATTGATAATCTCATCTTCTCTCTAAAATTTATGCAAGTGGAGTGGAATAAGCTTTAAAAATCTCCACCACCTCTAGCCACCTGAGGTGTTCTGCATATGGAGTAGTAAGAATGAATTGTGCTCTGGAGAAGTCTGCTGTAATATAAAGATCCATAGCATATGTGGAGAGGGCCATGGTGTTCCTACCATGCTGTATGTCCAACCTATGCTTTAATATCCTAACCCCCATTAAACTTTTGTTGCCCCAATTTACACCAGGTTTCTATCCCCTCTGTCGTCTCTGACAGGGACTCTATATATGCCTGACAGTCTGCTGGGATTGGGAGAGACTTTTCCATTACATAGCAGGCTGAACTTGCAGGGGCATCTCCTGTATGTAATATTAACCTGCCTTTTCATTGCAATTGTGGCATATAAGGGCTTTAAATATAGGTTAAAAGTAAGAGGAATCCTTTCCAGTGCCTCCTCTTGTTTATCTACCAACTGGTCTGTTGGGAAAGTGGAGTATGCCTGTACATGTCAGTAACATTCACACAATCTTTGTATAACATTGGTGTAACCATATGCCCTGGCTACCTGTTCTGTAAGTCTTAATTCGTTGACCAAAGCTTCAGGAGTAGAGGTATGCATAAACATCCTTTTAACTAAGGCTATGAAGGTGGCAACTTTGTATAGGAACAGATCATACGATCCAATCGGGAATGTACACTAAGAAAATGTTTGTTGTTTGACGTTTAACCTTACTGCGCACCAATTATTGGTTTTTGTGCATGATATTATCATTATCCTGATGTGGTTTGCAGATATTTAAATAAATGATTTGTGCATTTATAGATTTTATTATAATAAAACTTTTCTTTCATAACAAACAGAATTTTTAGTACATTAAACTGAAATTTCATCATAATGGTATTTGTTAAATTGAAACAGTTTTATATTGAGCTGAATAAGAAATGAAAGGAGATTCAAGATAAATTCATTATACTGAAAATTTCATTAAACTAGTATTTGTTATAGCAACATTTCACTGTATTACAGAGTTGAAAATGCACTTTATTTTATAATCACATACCTCCTTGCTAGAGCTTCTGGATCAGAACCTTCATTGGACTCTCCAGGTAAACTTTCAGTATCCTTTGCTTGTTCCTCTTGAGTTAATCTCAAAGCAGGTGAAATCGATCTCGAACTTGAAACCTCAGACAAATGCCTTTCTCGTGCCAAAGAATCTGGTTCAGAAGGAGTTCCAGTAGAACTTCCAACATCAGAAATATAGTCTGGAATATCTGTATTAAGATGACATATCAAGTTAATTTTTAATGTTTTTTTTATTCACAGAAATATGTTAATGAAATTTTCATTCAGCCTCAAATACACAGAACTTTACTGAAAGTAAAAGGAACCATCTTTAGTAGTTATTTATTTCAGTCGACCTGAAGAAGAGCGAACAGATCGCTCGAAAACGTTTGTCAAGCAATATACAATATATACGCGCAGAGCACTGGTCATAGGTTCCAGATAGTGTAACGTTGAGTTATTTATATATTTTTTATGATGATAAAAATTAAAATAAAATATAATTAATTAGGAAATCAAAATTTAAAAAATAATTTTGAATGTTAAAACAACTTACCCTCTGAAATATTCTAAATATATGCCAATAGAACACAAGATATTTTTCAAAAAATTTTTTCATTCTATTAAATACATTGTTACAGAACTTGTCAAATTTTAAACAGATTTTAAGCACGCAGGTTTGTTTGTTCCAAAAGTTTGATTTTTAAGCATATTTTAGAACCCATATTTTTGAGAAAATCAAGTTAAGTTTTAAATTTTAGAAACTAAATATAAATGTGTTGACTTTATATTACTAATATAAAAGTCATCGTCTGTGTGTGTTTGTGTATGTGAATTCCTTACAACTCCTGCAATCATTGTCCAATCAAGATGAAATTTTGGTTATATACACGTTTTATGTTCTGACAGAAAGTAGAGGCTACTTATTTTGTGGAAATATTAGCTACAGAATAAACATTTTATCAATTTCAGATCAGTGATCTCACTTATGTTGCAGTGACATCAATGACCATGTGATGTTCATGCTTGATGAAGAAATTTCCCTTAAGTTGCCATTTTTAAAGATTTTGGCAAATGGCATATTTTAAATCTACTTCATTAAATTTTAACTTTAAATAAGATAGTCTCGTTGTGTCACTTCTATAGCAAATTTTGTTTTAAAATCTTACTGTAGGGACCACAAAACATTCTATTGTCCAATTGTAAGTAATAATCTATCAAGCTATTTAGAAAATGTTATAGCTCATCTAACTAATGTACATACAATTTATCTTTATTTTATCAATGTGGAATTAAGAAATGGCTTTATGAAAGGCTGCAGAAACATGATTACGACGACAATAATCAAAACAATATTAACGTGTCTATTACTAAAGGAAGACAGCAAGGAAATCTTTTAAAAGACAATAGTTAACTCATAATGTAGTGTATAAAGAAATTTTATTATTATTATTTTAAAGGACTAAATCTGTGTGTGTTTAAGTGAATACTCTATAACTCCTACTTTTTTCCACTTCAGGTGAAATTTTGTTTTGTAGCTCTTTATGTTACAACATATAGTATACACTAATTAATTTGTAGAAATATTAACAATTCTTGAATTTCTTGAAATCTCTACTCTTATCAATTCTTCAATCTCTATTTTTTCATAAAAAGTATTCCATGATGCTTGATGGGGAAATTTCTAGTTTATTATATTTAACAAAAAAAACTTTGTATCACATTTTCTTCAAATTTATCATTTACTTTTGGAATTGTGTTTTAATTTTAATTCAATTATTTTTAATTCTTTGATGAGTAGGTTTACAGGTTGTTCCCTCTCCTCCCAGAACAAGCTGGTTTTTAAAAAATATAACATTTGTGAAAAAAATTAATATCTTGTGTTCTAATTCATATTTTTTAATAAACTAGGCAATACTTTCTTCTTCTGATTCACTTGTGTTGAAAACTCCAATTATTCAGGAGGAGTCAGTGAATGTGAATGACTACTACACATTACGTTTATCTTTATACTAGAAAACTTTATGCTAAATCTTGCAAAACTTATAAAAATCACATGGAAAAAATTTTCTAGTCTTGTCAATATATTTCCCTAGCTATCTGCAATGTTTCACATTTTTCTATAAATATACAATGAGACAAATTTGAAGAATGTATATATATCAATAAATGCTTATTCTGTAAACCATTCCATGTAGAAGGTATATTTATGGGATTACTCATTAAGGGGTTACTGAAACTGTTATAAAAAATTCTATTTAAATAAACAAAACCACTGACTTTGACTTCAACTCTTTGATAAAAAAAACCAATTAGCATTAATGATGGTAAATGATACCATAAGAAATTTCATTATCACCATCAGGTTACTTTTTAGACTTGTATCATTTAAGTACAGGATGTCCTTAAAATTGCTGTGCAGAGAGAAATTGAAGCCCTCGGGGATGTATAGTGCTAACCCTTAAAATGAGGTTAGCACTATACAGGTTTTAAAAAATCCTAAAATTATATGAATAGCATGTGTTAATATTTTTGCTCTCCAAACATTATCTATAGATGTAGAAGTCATCTCATCACTTTAGGATTTTTTTCAAACATTCAAACTAAATTACCTCAGAAATATCATTTCAAGGGTTAGCATTGTACTGTACATCCCTGAGGGCTACAATTAATAATAATGTCATTTAAGTTATATTTATGATATTGCATATGAGACTTGTAAGTTGTCTATTTGGTACCAGCTGACCTGTTATATGTATAGTATTGCATACAACTTACAGGTCTTGTGTGCAATACTATACATATAACTTTAATGTTATTACAAATTTCTCACTGCACAGTAACTTTTCAGACATCCTGTATAAGGATAGTGGTTTTATTGTAGTCATGCCTTCATAGCTTTTTTCCTTTATTTCCCATATTTAGTGATATTATTGTAATAAAAATTTAACATTGATTATAACAACAGTATTAAAAACAGAAATTAAACTAAAATAATATCACATGATAGGAATGCTAAAAATTGTATTTTCTTAGGATTTTATATTGAGGTCAGAGTAAGAGTACATTTTTACCAACTTTGATTTATTATATATAATGCAATTAAAAATTTCTTTCAATTCCAACTCCACAGCACTAAATTTATGTTGCATAAAATGAATATTGTTTAATTTGTTTGTTAAAAATTTAAAAGTAATTATAATAAAAACACTTTTACTATATTTACCATCCAAATTTCCAAAAAACTGTGCAGCTGTTATATTAACACCGAGACAACGCTTACGAAGAAAATCTTCTGCTTTCTGAACAGCTTTCACAAGCGTATCAGCATGTGAAGTTACTCGTCCGGCACTCTAAATAACAATTATATATACATATATCAACTTATAACATTTTGGTAAATTAGATATTAAATTCCTAACATATAGTTTTTATACTTACCAAAAACTTTTTATTTCTTTCAGCATTATCAAATGTTGATATTTTTTTAATTGGAACCCTAATACTATACCAAAAAGAATAAAAACACATTGTAAATTTTTAAAGCCAATTCATTAATTCTTAAATTTTAGTAAGAACAAACCCTGGTTTCTTGCTACTTGGACTATCAATAAACATAATTGAAGCCTTTTTTTGTTTCATATAAATTTTTCTTACCTAATTAGAATAAAATAAAAATTTACATACATATTTTTATAATTATTTTTTAAATTTCATTTTTAATAATATAACATGATTATGATTATGAATTTAATTTTACAGATTTTGCTATAATGCATATATAGGTGAGAAAAACTACACTCCTTTAATGGAAATATGGTGGATAAAATTGAAAATTTTTAATAGCAATCAACAAACATTTTCATTTTAATTTCCTCCTTTCCTTCACATCATTAGAGAGCTGAAAAGTATATATATTTTTAATTATTTTGAATTCAACATGCATATTTCAGCAATAACATTTCACTATTCAATTTTATCTTCAACATTAGTAGTAAAATAATCTATATATAAAATGTTTATTTTACTACTGATATTGTGCAAATAAATTAATTAAAAGTATATCTTTTAACAATACAGTAGACCCCCCTATAATTACGATTCCTATAAAACTGCGAAAAAATTGCGACGGTATCCGTAAAAACCGATAAAAAACTCCTATAATTACGTAAAACGTCATCGGGCAGCCAAACTACTTTCCCACTGGAGAGATTACTATCGTCTGTACAGTATTATATATAAATTAGGTACTGTGTATATATATATATTAATTATATATAAATCAGGTACTGTATATATAATTATATATTAACTTAATTTATTGTAACTTTATTATAATTATATATATTTTTTCTGCCGCGTGGCACCACGCTACGGAGATTTTACGCTAACTATCGTCTGTACAGTATGTAAATAGGTACCGTAAGTCTAATACAGTACTGTAATTTTATACATTTCTTGTGAAAGAAACATTTCTTATTCAACGCCGATAAAAATTATTTATATTAATGATGTCTCCGAAGTTCAACGAAGTTTTTGCAGAAAAATAAGTTATCAGAAATCGGCCGTGGTTTGGTGTGCTGCTTTGCGACGAAAACAAGCTTTAGCAATGGCGATGTCGAATGGTGCACACTCGGTAAGTAATCCTACAATTTTTTGTTTATAGCGTAGTTTATACGGATTATTTCCAAAAAATATATACGTATTTTGGAAACGTTGAGTCAAATTAGTCTAGAATCAATTAATTTTATGGAAGAAACCCTTTCAATCAGCCGTAGTCCGTAAACTTCACACGTGTCGGGCTATGGATTGGAAGGACTCTTAAGAAATCAGATTCCTAAAGAATGGAACGTATCTATAATCTTATAGGACTGTATATTATTATAAACAGAGAGAAAATTCAAACAGATTAGATAAAATAAATGAATATAGTTGTATGCTTGCCTCAATTAAATAAAATAATTATCTCAATAACCAATTGCTGGATATATATCCTTCTTTTGATGAAATCTTGATTTCCTTGGCTCATTACAGTTTGATAAACCTCATACATCTCCACCAATTGGTATTGAAATAATAATTATTTAATTTGAGATAAATGAAGTTTGAGAAATAGTTGAGCATACATTTTTAAAACATAATAAATTTTATTCTTTAACATGCTAATACTCAGGAGGAGGAGAACACTGATGAATTTCTTAAAATTTAACTATTAATAATATTTTTGTTAAAGTTCCTATTTCTCAGTTCCACATTAATATATACTTAATTAAAATATTAGAAGCTGCACAGCTTTTCCATATCTTGTTAATACCTTGTTAATTTCAGTAATGTCTTCACTTTGTGAGTAAATTGTTATTACATTAAAAAAGCATCTTGTAATCATCATGATATGCTAACAAGGAGATGGCCAGATGTTTGTGTCTCCGATTCGAATAAAACTTGGTGAATACGTATCCCTAAACACAAGCAGCTCCTTGTCCAAATGATCAGACCCATTTTGCAAGCATTTCAGAAAAACAGGCCTCTGAAAATTGACTGTTTAACTTATGTCCTTGGAAGTTTTACTTCCTCTTTGTAACTGTGATAGCCAAGTGGAGGCAGTGGAGCTACATGATGCAGGTTCAAATCTACAAAATTTCAGCCTTGTTTTATTTGTGCAACAAAATTATTTTATTATTTTATCATATCATTAGCATTATTATTACTATTATCATTCCTCAGATTTAAAGCTTATAAAACAAGATATTAAAAAATCATAACATTTCCTGTTTGGCAAAAATGCAGTCTATGTAGATTTAACTCTTCTATGTCATTAAATACAATTTTTATTTTTTCGCACTTATTTTCAGATATTTTTGCTCATGCTTATATACTATGTCAATGAAGCAAATAAGCTTCAGACATTACTGTGGATGGACAAATAACACAAATCTAAAATGAAAATAGAGTAGCATAGTCACATCATATAATTTGTGATGTTATGGACAATTTTCTCATGCACTCTGGTTTCTTACACTTCAAATACATAATAATACCACCACATCTGAAAATATTTATTTTCAGATATGGTAGTATTATGAAGAAATAAAATGTGGTAGGCAAAAAGGTGGTAAATATAAAATAATAAAAATTTTAAGGACATAAAAGTTAAATCTACAAAGACTGCATTTTCTATAAATAATAACATTGTAAAGCCCGAGTAGTATACATTAAATCACCAAGTGATTGGTACAAAGTAATTTGACACTAGAGGTAGGTGTTAGGCACCATCTTTTAAGTAAATTAATAATTATAATTAAACTAGCTGCAAGGACCCGCTTCGCTGGGTTTTTATTCGTATGTAATATATTTTTTTCTATATATAAAAGACTGTTTTTCTAAGTAATCTACAATCTAGCTGCAAGGACCCGCTTTGCTGGGCAAAAAGTAACGATAGTGAAGATTAAGATAATTACATTATAGCCAATCTTACCTGTTTTCACAAAATGCAAGAATTAGGTCCCCCGTTTCCAGACTAATTAGAGAATTTTTACGTCCAGTCAAACGAATTATTTTCAACGTTTCTGGAACGTTTACAATCGAACCAATATTCGAATTTTATGTTCGAATTTAATTCGAATATTGTTCAAATTAAATTCGAACAAATTCGAACATAACATTTGAAATAGAAAACCACTTTCAACCATACTTTCAGCCCCATATCTCCCGCACCCTTATAGCTATCGAGACGCAACCACCATAGTGCACGAATGGAGACTTGGGGCTACTACCACATACAAACAACATTCACATGCGATGTGTAGTTTTGGTGGAAAAGTGAAATATAGGGACATACATGTCCATTTATATATATATATAAATTCATATTTGTTTTTATTTNCAATTAATATTAGAAATTATATATCTATATATATATATATATAAATAAATTATAATTATTAATTTACTTAAGAGATGGAGCGTAACGTCTACCTCTAGTGTCAAATTACTTTACACAAATCATTTAATTAGCCATATTATAGCCCAATATTTAGGCGATCGTTTAGTGATTTAATGACTGCATTTTCACCAAACAAGTGAAAATGCATGCTATGATGTCATAATTTTTTAATCTCTTGTTTTATAAGCTTTAAATGTGAAGAATGATAATACTAATAATAATGCTAATACAGTAAAATAATAAAATAATTTTATTATACAAATAAAAAAATGCTGAAATTCTGTAGATTTGAAGCTGCATCACGTAGCTCCACTATCTCCACTTGGCTATCACAATTATAAAGAGGAAATGAAACTTCCAAGGACATAAGCTAAACAATCAATTTTCAAAGGCTTGTTGTTCTGAAATGCCTGAGAAATGGGTCCTATTATTTGGACAAGGAGATGCTTGTGTTTAGGGCTACATGCTCATCAATTTTTGTTCGAATTGGAGATGCAAGTGTCCTTGTAAGTACATGATGTAAAAATATAATATGATAAGAACATACTTAATGTAATTAAAATAAATTTATTGCTCTTATTTCATAAACAGTGAAATATTTATTTACATATTTTAAATTTAGTAAATATCAAATATTATCAATATGCATTCCAAACTTACTAATGCAGGCCAATGCAAATTTTTCCATTCCACCCAAACTACATCATCATCTGTAAATCCAAATTCTGCAAAGAAAAGTATTAATTAGTTTTGATGATATTTCAAATTATATATGAGTACTTACTTAGTAAATCTACATCTTACTTTTTTTGGATGGTGTGTCAAAAGCTGGAGGAAGATCGTCAAGATCAGAATCTGAATTTTCTGCTTTTTCCAAATCGTTTCCACTGGGAGAAAAAACTCTTATTAAGTAAATGCAGAAATACTCAAAAAATATTAGCTTTAAGAGTAGTTAGCAGCAATGTTTAATTTATTGATGTATTAATTAATAAAAATAATATCTAAAATAAAAATGTAATGAATTCACATAAACATTCATACACAGATTCTCCTTGCTTTATGACTACTTGATGACATTATATTCTGACTTGACAATGGCGTGATAACTGTAATTTAGTAGTCAAACTTTGATCTGTTCTTGAACTAGCAATATGCTATGATACTTTCTGCTGATGCCAGGCAATGGCAACACCCACCTAGCCTAGTGCTGGGTTTATAATTATTTCTTAAAGTTTGTGAATTACATTATATTATTTAATACCAGAAGTTGAAAGCATATTGGATTAAAGATTAATCTGGTATGCTTTCAGACAACTGCAGTAGAGCGTCGTTTATCAGAATCAATTGGGGACTGAGGTTGTTCGGATAACTGATTATGTACGAAAAAATATATTAACCAATCTCGCGTTGAAAATTTTCTCCATTGTGTGTTGCTTTGCGTCGAATTTTCGTTGATGTTAAGCCTAACGTAAACTTTTTAAAATATGAGTAATAATCGTGGCTATTGTATCGTTAAAAATTATTTCTTTACTTTTTACAAACAAAATAAATATATTGAAAAATATAAAAACAAAAAAATTATACTTTAGAAGTTAATCTAGTATCAAAAACATTCAATTCAGCATGACACACAGTCCTCAGAAAAACCACACACAAAAGTGCCAGTGCTGCCAGCTAAAACACACACATCAACAAAAAAAATATTGGAGTAGCCCAAGACATAGCCAAAGATTGCAGCACCACAACACTAGCGAAAATTTAAATTTGCTGACTGGAATTCTTTGGGATAACTGACGTTTCGGATAAACGACACACTACTGTACAGTACATCAATGGTGAATATCTGTAAAATGTATCACACGCACTGTGTATATATCAAGTCATTGTAATGTAAAATTTATTTCATACTGTACAATTACTGATAGAATAAACTTGTATTCTTGTTTAAATTATTTGTTTATTTACTTATTCAGTGACAGTAGTTATTTATTTATATTATTATATTTGACTTATAATTTCAATTTAAAATAGATTGGAGCATAAACCCATTGTCAGTCAAAGAATTTTAGTCTCTTATATGCAAATATATATGTAGTAATGCTGTATAAAAATGAAAATATTATTTAATAAATTTCAACATTTTTGGAGCATTGGATGTTCCAAAAACAAAGTTTAGAAAAATTCTAGCAAATTTATTTACTGAATTGGTCAAATTATTATTATTAATCTTTTATGAAGACACAGTATTCAACTTTTCATTTTTATAAAATTGGTAATATTAATGAACTTGGGATAAAAACACAAAAATCTGTTAAAATTATTAATGTTTAAACAAGCAATTATTTATTGTGACACCATAATGCCAGGCTGCAATTTTTTATCATATTTTTAATTTATTTAAAATATATGCTTGCCACACAAATCAGTAATGGCTCGCCCCTGTACATCATACTTTTCCATTAGCAATGGCATAGTGCTGGTCATTATCTAATTGCTTTCAGGGGAAAAGTTTTGAATTGAAATAATATGACTTTCAGTTTGTATCAGAAGTTCATATATAGTTAATTGGGACCACCTGTCCCTAAGCTTTCTATATCTGATCTTGATTTCCATGTATCTAACTCCATTCTCGAGATTAAGGAAGGACAGACAGTCGGAAGGATATGACAACAGTAACAATTTACAGATCTACAATTTTTTCAAATTGCAACCAAACAAGCATAATTTAATTTCTTTATAAACATTACCATTTAACATGGAGCAACACAGTTTAAAGTAAAATATATAAATTGTTTAAATTTCTTAATACTAAGTTTGAAAATTTATAGATTATTATTTAAACTCTCGTATTCACACTGAGATTCTTTAACTTTACAAAGTCAACACACCTTAATACTGAGAAAGCTCATTTATTCAGCTAAACAAACATTTTCAACCCATTCCATGGGCCATCATCAGGTTAAAGATGTTCGAATCAATAGTTTTTCGAATAACATGTTCAAATTTAAGTTATATTAGAACATATGCAGTATATTGAAATCAAATTAAGTAAACAAACATAACAAAATTAATACAATAAATAAGAAAAAACAAAATAAAATAAAATACAAAATACGGTAATTTCCCACTGTACCATATGTAAAAATTTTTTACAGTAACTCAGGTTCTTTTGAGCCTGGTTGATGTATCATCTTATGAGTTCTTTCTGATTATATATTTCCATGCTGACGGTAAAATGATTGCATCCTTATAGTTTAAACATTTTTCCATTAAGCTAGATCTGTAGATCTCATACTTTTCTGTTATGAATGCAAGCGTTGGCAAGTGCACATTTGCAATGATACTAGCCTCTTCCCATTTAACTGTGGATCCATCAGTCTGCGCTATTTTTGATATCAGCTTTTTTCTACGTCGTACTTATGCTCTTTCACCCTTATGTTAAGGTTTCTATTTGTGACTCCTATATATTCTTTGTTCACATAAAATAAACGTCTATCCCTGATTATGAAAGAAATCGCAAACTACAAAAACACTAATATTGTATACAAAAAAGCTCCCACCTTATATACGTTGCTCAGAAATGACAAAGAAAAAATTAATGAGAAAGAACAACCAGGAGTGTACACAATACTGTACAAGAATGACCAATTGGGAATATATAGGAGTCATAAATAGAAACCTTAACATAAGGGTGAAAGAGCATAAGTACGATGTAGCATAAAGCTGATATCAAAAATAGTGCAGACTGATGGATCCATAGTTAAATGGGAAGAGACCAGAATCATTGCAAATGTGCACTCGCCAACGCTTGCATCCACAACAGAAAAGTGTGAGATCTATAGATCTGGCTTAATGGAAAAATGTTTAAACTATAAGGATGCAATCATTTTACCATCAGCATGGAAATATATAATCAGAAAGAACTCATAAGATGATACATCCACCAGGCTCAAAAAAACCTGAGTTACTATAAAAAATTTTTAGATTTGGTATTGTGGGGAATTACCGTATTTTGTATTTTATTTTATTTTGTTTTTTCTTATTTATTGTATTAATTTCGTTATGCTTGTTTACTTAATTTGATTTCAATATACTGCATATGTTCTAATATAACTTAAATTTGAACGTGTTATTCAAAAAGCCATTGATTTGAATGTCTTTAACCTGATGATGGTCCATGGAATGGGTTGAAAACATTTATTTACTATTTATTTATTAAGGAAATAGATGCATATTAATTTATTTATTATTTAAACTATATTTAAACATCATGACATAAGGAAGCATTTCTTGCTTGAAATTGCTTCTTGCAACACCAAAAACTTTAAGAAAAATATTAATACTGTCTATCAGCATTGTTATTTTTTACTTGAAATGTTATTACAAGTAATTTCGACAAACTACAAATTGTGTTCCAATCTGCAGTTTGTTGAAAAAATTAATAGTAGTACATAGTACCCTACAGATAAGAAGTTCCCAACTCTTGTAAAAAGAACTTTTCCATCAGCTCCCTTCAATATTACATACTCTTACATGTATGTGCAACAGCCTTTATACATAACTCTTAACATTTGCAGTTTTACTGATCCTCTCTCTTAAGCTTTCATTAACCCTGAAAGGCTCAATACAACCTGCTAGAAACCCAATGTAAATGATAAATATTAAATAATAATGTAATTAGTCAACATTTAATAAATTACTAGAAAGTACTAGTATAAGTAGATAAATAAATAAATAGAATAAGTAATAAAATAGAACAAAAGTAATTTCCACTGACTAGAAGTATCATAATAGAGATATTTCCTGTAGTAATTCAAAAAACTACAGATGCTTAATAAATAAAACTTATTATATTGATTTTATAATTAACCAAATCTCATTAATGCTTTGATGTAAGATCTTTTATATTTTTCATTTTATTATAGAGAAACATATACACTGTTTTTGTATTCATCAGCATTAATATCAGCTTTCATTACCTTTCAACAGCACTTTATGTCTTATCCTCAAAATTACTTTAAATATCAAATATTTGTATTTGTTATTACACAGAACTATAGTTTCAAATAAAAACAGCTGCATTATAAATGATGTTTATTATATTATAACAATAGTAAGTAAATAAGATGCATGTTTACATTCAGATTTCTATTAAATAAATTTTCTATTTCAAATAATTTTTTATATGCATTTACATATCACATTAATAAGCATTCTTAGCAGAAAGCAACATTCAGATTCAGAAATGTTTATCAAATGTAATGTTTATATATGTATAAAATTCTATAAACTTTTTATTTTCCTGGCTGTTAAACATAACATGTAAGTAGAGAAAATGTATGACAATTGATCAAAAAATGATCCTACAAGATTTTTATCTTTGGACTTGGGGTATTGAAATGTTAAAAAATGCAAAAATGTTGGGGAGATTTTCCTGTATGTATGAATGTTAGTATATATGAGGGAACACAGTTTTGTTCACCCACTTTGAAGCTTAAACCTCCTGTGTTTTTTATTGAAAATTTCTAAAATTTTGCAGGAAGGTTTGGGTATTAGGGGGACTGATGCTATTAAATTTTGGTGGTTAAAGGTTGAGGAGATGAGGAGATAGATGGGGTTACATATATTTTTTGCCTGGAAAGTTATGCAACTTATTGCTGGTTTATTTTATTTGCATTCAATATCTTCTTTTTTGAAAACACTTATGAGAAAATGAACTAAACATAAAAACTGACAGGAACGATTTTTTTTTTTAAATTTTGGCTCTATGCCCTGTGGGCATTATGACACCTTTGTTTTCATACAAACTGTGGGTTTGGCCAGGTCTACAATGGAGCAGATGGGTGGTGAGACACAGGGTTCAACATATCTTATATGTACTGTTCAT